GGGGAGACAAAGGGCGGGCGGGGGAAGCCGAGGACAGACACATGAGGGAAGGGAAGGAAGAGCAACTACTGAGTCACACCACTAAGGAGGGCAGTGGGCGAGAGGAACGGCCCACCGCACCTTGTGTGGGTTTGCTCCCTGGGTGGGGATCGAACTCAGGCCCTAGCAGCCGTAGCGCCTCAGCACTGAGCCTTAACCCACTAGGCTAACAGGGAAGCCCTCCTTGGAGCCTGCTTTTCCCCCTGCTAGTACTTCTCCGAGGGCACACAACTGCTTTGGCAATGGTGGGCTGAGGTTCCCTTTCTCAAGCAAATTCAGGTGCAAGTCCTGTGCCCTGAGCAGACAGGTGAGGTATAAACAAGGCAGCCACGGCCTGGTATTCACCTGGAGGGGCCTGCATGCAGGAGTCCTCAAGGTATAAACAAGGCAGCCTCAAGGTTTTTTGTATTTTCCTTTTCTTCTGCTGTGACCATTGTGGGAAGATGATGATTGGACCAACTTTGATATATTCTTGGTAGGACTGGTATATCTTAGTTGGGATCCTGTATAGAAAAGGGTATTTAATAGGACGCCAGCATAACGAGTGTGGGGTTGGCGTCTAGAAATACATTTAAAGTAAGTGGCAAGCTGGGTGAAATTTTTAAGTCTTTCTTTAGGTATTTGATCAAGATTCCACAACTAATAGTATATACATGTCTTCTAGCTGATCATTCTGGCGAGTGGTGGACCTCAAGCTTTAGTAAATATAATGAGAACCTATACTTATGAGAAACTACTGTGGACCACAAGCAGAGTGCTGAAAGTGCTATCTGTCTGCTCTAGTAATAAGCCAGCTATTGTAGAAGCTGGTAAGTATATGTGTTTTTGTGCTCATGTATATAGAATATACTGTTCTAATGAATTTAAATGTCTTGGGGAAAAAGAGATAAAAGTAGTAGATGGTTCTATTTAGTTTGTAGCCAAGGTCACCTTCATATGAAAACGTTTGTTTCTCCTTGCTAGCTGCAAGTTGGTAGTATTTAAGCCACATTTAGGCATAGTTCTCATTACTCATCAAAGATTACAGCTATGTTTGGCTTAAACAAGTTATTAGCAAAGATTTTGCTTTGCTAATAGACTTATAAATAGGTGAAATTGTGTCACAGCCTACTAATGTTACTAAAAGTACAGTGATAATAGCTAAGCAGTGTTCTGTTTCATATAGCTATAATTGTGTGTTTATATTGGTTGTAGAAGAACCTATGGCCTGCACTAGGCCCTCTTGGTCTTCTTGTCATGAAGATACAGTTACTCTTTAGCTACCATCCATCCTTTTTTTTTTTCTTTCAACTGGAAGAGGAAGAATAAAAAGCATCTAATAGAAGAAAATATTGGGAGTTAAGTGTAGAGTTGGTGACACCTATATCCCTCCCACTTATTGAAAGTAATTTTACCTGATAGTATATGGAAGACTGGTATATTGTGACTGTCTAGGATAGCTGCTGGCAGTGTGACAGTAGACTTGTAGATAGGAAAGTGGGGCTGACTTCATATAGAACAGGGCAGTGTAGATTTTGCCAGCTATTTCATAAATACTGGTAGTTCTTGTGAAAAATGCAGTTATTTATATACTTAATGAGAATCCCTGGTATGTCAAATTAGGCACCTGAAAATGTATGAGACTGGAGGCCTAGGAGTCCTTAAGATGTTTCAAACCTAGGTGCTTCTGATATTAAATGCTGTAGTATGTACGGCCTCTATATAGTCAGTTTGATGAGGGTGACAAAAATATCAAAAAAGATTACGAATTGGAATGAGTGTTATGAAACACCAAATGATGACGCAGCATTAATGGGGATCACTATTCCCTTGAGGGATTTAATGCCTTAGAGGCAGAGAAAGGAGACATGTCCTGAAGGAAGAAAAGAGGGTCTTGAGTTTAGGTGCTAAGGAGAAGGTCTTACTGGAATTTAGTAATGATTGGCTAGATGAAGAGCTCAGTTCAGGGAGGGTCTAAATGGAAGCTCCTCAGGGTCTTGTCTTATATAGTTCCTGCCAAAAGCATCCCTTGTGTAGTTTTTTTTTCATAGCACTTAACACCATCCTAGATACTATATAATTCTATTAATTCTGTGTTTATTGTTGCCTCCATCAATAATATACCGTAAGCTCCATGAATATGGGAATATTTTAATAATTTTGCTCACAGGTATAGCTCCAATTTTAAATATGGTTTGGTCTTGAATAAATGTTTTTGGAATGGATGGAAGGAAATAAGTGGAGCTAATGACTGCTGTCCATAGAGGAAGGCATACTAGATACCCACAAATGTGTTTTACTAGTGAGGTGACCTGAAAAGTAAAGGAAAGCTGAACAATATCATCTAAGAAAATCAAAGCAAATACTTGAAGAATAAGCTTTAGAAATAAAGAGGGCCTCCCTTTAATATTAGAGAAGCTATTTAGTGCTTAAAGGAATTGATAATGGCCATTCTCTTCGAATTTTTTTTTTTTTTACTCTGCCAGGGGGAATGCAAGCTTTAGGACTACACCTAACAGATCCAAGTCAACGTCTTGTTCAGAACTGTCTTTGGACTCTTAGGAATCTTTCAGATGCTGCAACTAAACAGGTACAAATTTTAGTTAGTTACACCACTGTACTGGTAGTAAAGTTAAGATGAATATGCACTGAGAATCTGTTTTTATCTCCTTAGGAAGGAATGGAAGGTCTACTTGGGACCCTTGTTCAGCTTCTGGGCTCAGATGATATAAATGTGGTCACCTGTGCAGCTGGAATTCTTTCTAATCTCACTTGCAATAATTACAAGAACAAGATGATGGTGTGCCAAGTGGGTGGAATAGAAGCTCTTGTGCGTACTGTCCTTCGTGCTGGTGACAGAGAGGATATTACTGAACCTGCCATCTGTGCTCTTCGTCATCTGACCAGCCGACACCAGGAAGCAGAAATGGCCCAGAATGCTGTTCGCCTTCACTATGGACTTCCAGTTGTGGTTAAACTCTTACACCCACCATCCCATTGGCCCCTGATAAAGGTAAAAAGTAGAAGGTTGAAGAATTGAAAATAAAGGCTGGGATGGGACTATGGTTCTAAAGTTTTGCTGTAGTGAGTGTTAAAGTGATACCCATAGATTTAATGTGGGAATTTTAAAATAAGAAATGGTTGTTGTTGAGCTGTACAACACTTCTTTATTCTTATCTGCAGGCTACCGTTGGTTTGATTCGAAATCTTGCCCTTTGTCCTGCAAATCATGCACCTTTACGGGAGCAGGGTGCCATACCACGACTAGTTCAGTTGCTGGTTCGTGCTCACCAGGATACCCAGCGCCGTACATCTATGGGTGGAACACAGCAGCAATTTGTGGTAGGTAAATTATTATAGACATCTGCCTATTTAGAAGGAGTTATAAATCTATGTGAACCTGAACTACTTTGGATTCCTCCATCCTGCTTGAGGGATAAGGATGCTTCCTGACTAAAAAACTGACAATGTTGTGACTATAAAGAAGATAGTAATGCGACCCCTAATTGTTTCCTTTGAAAAGCCCTTTGCATTATCAGTTCTAAAGGGTAAATCCAAATCTGATTTCAGAGTGCATTCCTTGCCACATGTGTTTTACCTACAAATATTTGACATACCTTTTCTGCATCTTTTCAGGAGTGGCTTAAACTATTTCAGGAACCTTAAGGATATTATTGACAAGTTCTAAAAATAATAGCATTTCTGAAAACTTTACCTTATAACCCCAGCCTAAAAGCTTTAATGTTTAGTTTGTAATCTTAAAAAACTAGCTTCATATAAAGTGCCTAAAAACAATTATTCAGAATAAGACCTTCAAAGAATTACTAAATTACTTTAAAAAACAAAGCCAGGCCTCCCAGAAAAATTGGAGAAAAAAAAAAAAAAGCTGCCAAAAGTGGTTAGAATAAAATTATCCCAATATCCCAAATATGCAGAAAAAATATGTATTTCCTTCTCCCTTGGAGGGTGTCTCAGTTGAATTTGACTTGGTGAGGTGGATTTCTGCTGGCAGCTCAGTAATTTCAGCAGTTGATAAAATTTTGATAATTTGTCACCAAGATGTACAAAATTAGATGGAGGGAGCTTGTCAAAGAAAATATTGGCATAGTCTGAGTTTTACTTTCCCATCTTTGTGTCTCTTATAGTCCTTTTACCCAGAGGGGTTGGTGTCCTCACTATATGAAAGGTTATCCTTGGGATTCAGAGGTTTATTGATTTGTACTTTGTTCAACCACTTGGGGGTGGGGGGGTGCTGCCAAGAACACCCCACATTCTAGTTAATGGAATCTTCATTCCTGAACTAACTGTAAGTTATAGGGAACTCTGACTGTTTAGTGTGTAACTGTAGTCTAGTAATGGCTACTCAGAAAGCTTTTCAATTTTTTAGAGAGGAGAATACCCTCTCTCAAATGCCTTGTTAACCTTTTTTTTTCTTTTGATAGGAGGGAGTCCGCATGGAAGAAATAGTTGAAGGCTGCACTGGCGCCCTTCACATCCTAGCTCGGGACGTTCACAACCGAATTGTAATCAGAGGACTAAACACCATTCCATTGTTTGTGCAGGTATGTTGGTTTTGGTTTTAAGTAAGGTTTTCTAGCTTTTATAGATCCAAAAGACTTGAGGATTTTAATAAAATTTTGGGGAACTGCGGTAAAATAACAGGTGTGCCAGCATTTACAAAATACCTGCCGATGTCCCCTGCCAAAGAATGAAAATATATAGTGTCCTTTATGTGCCATAGGAGAAAAACTGGGATTTGGAGCATCAGTGGGGGGGAAAAAAATCTTAATATATATATATATAATGTCAGTGCTGCTTACAGGCTCTCTGTCTGAATTGAGAATGTTTGCTCACCATGTTTTTAACTTCACTTTATAATTAGATTTTTCTTGTGTATTTTTTCCTTAGCTGCTTTATTCTCCCATTGAAAATATCCAAAGAGTAGCTGCCGGGGTCCTCTGTGAACTTGCTCAGGACAAGGAGGCTGCAGAAGCTATTGAAGCTGAAGGAGCCACAGCTCCTCTGACAGAATTACTTCACTCTAGGAATGAAGGTGTGGGTAAGTAAAAAAAGAACCTAAGTCTTGAGCTGGTGTGCACAGCCAAGCCTCAGCTTTGCCTTAAGGGCCTTTTTTCCCCTCTCCCCAACCCAGCAACATATGCAGCTGCTGTCTTGTTCCGAATGTCTGAGGACAAGCCCCAGGATTACAAGAAAAGGCTTTCAGTTGAACTGACCAGTTCTCTCTTCAGAACAGAGCCAATGGCTTGGAATGAGGTGAGTGTGTGTATTTGGCAGATAGGAGGACATTTTGTGGTTTTCCCTCAGTACATATTTATTTCTGCTATCTTACTAAGTGCCGTGAGGAAGAACAGGCTTGCTGCTTTAGAATTCACGAGGGGGGTAGACGGAAAAACTTTTAGGTTAAAGCATATTTTTCAAAAGGAAGGGGCAGTTCAATTTATTTAACAATACACACTACTTTTCTACTTGAATTTCTATGAACCCTAAAAGTTCATTCAGTTGTGTTAGCCCATATATAGTGGATTATACTTGATTGTTGGGAAGTGATCCTGCTATACATTGCTACATGCCATAAAAAAAGGGGGCAAATGAAATATTCCAACTGTTGAGCTCTGACTTTTCCTCACCCACAAGCCTGTTGTCTGTTAAGTGGCAATTTGCCTTTCCAGCTGCTCAGACAAAAAAAATCTCTCAAAACAGCCTGTGTGTCATGAGCTCGTTTCAGGAATACTAACTTTGCCTGTTTTGTTTACTATTGTGTCTCTTAACATCCAGAACAGTGCTTTTGCACATAGTAGGTACTTTGTAGGAAAACATTTGTTAGGCATAGTGGTTGAGTTGTATAAAGTTTGAAGTAACAGTTTTGAAATTTGAGAATTTTCATTTTGCTTCCTTACCTTGTACCCATTTAATCTAGCCTGCTGATCTTGGACTTGATATTGGTGCCCAGGGAGAACCGCTTGGATATCGCCAGGATGGTATGTGTCTCACATTTCTCAGTTAACTACAGATCAAGCTAAAGTTCCAGTTGGCTTTATCAAAAGATCTGGGTTGCTCATCTGGGAAACCAGTGTTGGCAGGAAATTAGTGGCAGTAATTAAAGGCAGTTTTTAAATTCCTCAGTCAGCAATTGGCTCACACCAACAAATAAGCACTACTGTGGGACCTCTGTAGTGCATGTAACCAATTGCTTGGTTTGTTTTTTTTCCCTTATCAGAGAATCCTTAACACCTGTGTCTGCAACCCACCCAGGATGTGAAAATGGGAAACTCTTGTCCCCAAGCTCAGATCTAGGGTGGGTGTTTTTACAAAGTTGTGTTATCAGGGTATTCTAAAAAGCTAACCCAAAGTGGTCGATGGCGTCATGGGGATAGATTGTAACTAAAGCATTAACGTTTATAAGCTAGTTGTTACCACGACAAATACATAAATATCTGCCCTTCAAGATAAAGCAAAGGTTTCATTGGAATGTTTTTCTTGGTATCACCTGGACTCTTATAACTTAGCCTCCACCTGTCATCTCCTAACCCTGTGCTCACATATACAAGACATTGTTGCTATCCTCTGGAGTCTTAGAGCTCTGCCTTCATAACTGCAGAATATCCAGAATAACAAAGGACTCTGTCTTTGGTAGAAACAGAAGTTAGTACTTACCCAAATTTCATTGTTAGGTTGTCTTGACCATTGTGCTGCCTCTGACTCTTCTAGATCCCAGCTATCGTTCTTTTCACTCTGGTGGATACGGCCAGGATGCCTTGGGTATGGACCCCATGATGGAGCATGAGATGGGTGGCCACCACCCTGGTGCTGACTATCCAGTTGATGGGCTGCCAGATCTAGGGCATGCCCAGGACCTCATGGATGGGCTGCCTCCAGGTGACAGCAATCAGCTGGCCTGGTTTGATACTGACCTGTAAATCATCCTTTAGGTAAGAAGTTACAAAAGCCAGTTTGGGTAAAATACTTTTACTCTGCCTACAGAACTTCAGAAAGACCTGGTTGGGTAGGGTGGGAGTGATTTAGGCCTATCTGTAAATCTGCCACAAAAACAGATACTTTGAAAGGAGATGTCTTGGAACATTTGAATGTTCTCAGATTTCTGGTTGTTATGTGGTCATGTGTGGAAGTTATTGACTTTAATGTTTTTGCCACAGCTTTGCAACTTAATACTCAAATGAGTAACATTTGCTGTTTTAAACATTAATAGCAGCCTTTCTCTCTTTATACAGCTGTATTGTCTGAACTTGCATTGTGAATTGGCCTGTAGAGTTGCTGAGAGGGCTCAAGGGGTGGGCTGGTATCTCAGAAAGTGCCTGACACACTAACCAAGCTGAGTTTCCTATGGGAACAATTGAAGTAAAACTTTTTGTTCTGGTCCTTTTTGGTCGAGGAGTAACAATACAAATGGATTTTGGGAGTGACCCAAGAAGTGAAGAATACACAAGAATGGATCACAAGATGGAATTTATCAAACTCTAGCCTTGCTTGTTAAATTTTTTTTTTAATATCTGTAATGGTACTGACTTTGCTTGCTTTGAAAAGTAGCTCTTTTAATTTTTTTTTTTGCAGTAAACTTAGTTTTTTAAGTCTCTCGTAGTGTTAAGTTATAGTGAATACTGCTACAGCAATTTCTAATTTTTAAGAATTGAGTAATGGTGTAGAACACTAATTCATAATCACTCTAATTGTAATCTGAATAAAGTGTAACATTGTGTAGCCTTTTTTTGTATAAAATAGACAAATAGAAATGGTCCAATTAGTTTCCTTTTTAATATGCTTAAAATAAGCAGGTGGATCTATTTCATGTTTTTGATCAAAAACTTTATTTGGGATATATGTATGGGGTAGGGTAAATCAGTAAGAGGTGTTATTTGGAACCTTGTTTTGGACAGTTTACCAGTTGCCTTTTATCCCAAAGTTGTTGTAACCTGCTGTGATAAAATGCTTCAAGAGAAAATACGGTTATAAAAATGGCTCAGAATTAAACTTTTAATTCATTCAGTTGTGTCACTTTTTTTCCTTGTCATTATAGTGGCTTGTGAGGGTAATAAGCGACTATTTGCCAAGTTTTTTTTAATCACTTGACCCTGCATTTGTGTAAGAAGAGAGATTCCTATCACCTTCAGCAGAAGGATTCTGGGCTTAGAGCCTGTCAGCTAGACTGTGTCCACCTGACCTTTTGCACAAGTGACCAAGGAAGGGCTCCCATCTTTCAACTACATAGAACAAAACTGAAAGCCCAGTAGGCAATCCCCACCCCCAAATGCCAGATTCATCCCATTAGATACCATAAGATAATAAAGAACTAAATACCTGATTTGGACTTGAAGCACCTTCAGGTAAGTGTGACTCATTTGAAGAGGGGAATTCCTTCAGCTCCACTTTGAACTAATAATTAGGATGATTTAAGCCTCTGTTTATGTGAACATAATCAGAGTGGGCCTCCTTCCATGCTGTCTGCCAGATAATCCTGTCATCCCGGTGGTAGGTCTGATGAGCTTTAGTTCATCCCTGAGGGCAGAGTCAGTTGACCTGTTAAGACTTGTGTTTTAGGAGAGATGTATTTTTCAGTTCCTTTTTTGTCAAAAATCAACTTTGTCTGTGAAAACATTTTGCAAAATACTCATATTCTTTGTGGTCTAACAGTAATGGGGGATGGGGACATACCACAGTGTAAACATAATTGGGGGAAATTTGCATACCTGGTGAGGTGGTAGGTCTCTGTCCAGAATATCTTCAGTAAGTACAGCTTTTAACAGCTTTTAACATATAAAGAACCATAGCAATTTAAGGAACTTTAAAAAACCATAAAACATTTTCAGAGCTTCACCTAAAGTCATTGTAGTGTTAAAGGTCCACAGTGTGGATGTGAATCCAGCAAGATGGTTAAAGGGACACAGCTAAGAAAACTGTAAAATTGGAATAAAATGTACAGACAGGTTACTTTGGATAAAATGCATGACCATCAATCTGTGTGCAAGTTTTCTTTTGCCTCCAGCTCTAGTATGCTGTGTACAGCTCACCCTGGGCACCCATCACAGTATTTTACTGTTGTACAGTAAAAGACTAGTTTCAGGTACATTATGGGAGTACAGCACCTAGCACATTGATTCAAAGGAAGGGCAAATAAACTCTTAAGTGGATGCTAAAACTAATGCTAGAAGTGATATGATTATAGCCTAACTTTCTTAGTAATCTTAAGTTACCTGGAAAGAAAGAGAGATCTTGGAATTTGATCCCATTGCAGTGATCACCATTGAGCTGAAGAGTAAAAGCTTTTTTCATGTTAGAGTATTGTTCTAACGTAAGACTTGGATTATTTTAATCCTTGACACTGAAAAATCTTGATATATTTATAATTCTTGTTTTGATTACTGTAAAAACAAGATTTAAATGGTGCTGTTTGGTTTATAAAGTAAATAGAGCCAAGTCTTTTTGTATTGTAAGACAGTCTACCCTTGCTTGAATTAATCAAGCACAGTTACAGAGTGTAGGGATTGGTGAGGGTGACACAGGAAAGCTTGTGCTCCCTTTTCCTTAACCATTAGTATCCTCTGTGATGTCCATCCTGCTTCCCGGTAAACTGGAGAGAGGTGATAAGCCTTGATTAGCCACCTGTGCATCAAACCTCAACAGTAGACCAGAGTCCAGATACAGTAGAAGGATCAGTCTTCTTTCACAAGAGTTCTTCAGGACTTTGGATCTCCTTACTGCTTCCCAACCTTGACTTCATGCTTCTACTTTCCATTACTTCCCTCCTCAGCCTCACCAAAGCTTAAAGCTATTGGGATTTAAACTTCAGCAATGGCCTAGTTCCCACCCTATGCCAAGTGGCCGGGAATATTGTAGTTTCCTTTGCCTTCTGTTTCTTCCTGAGGCTACTACCTCAGCCCTGACATAAATGCACGTATCAGGTTTATTTTCTACATTGTACTTTCCACCACAGGAGGAAGTATAAAGCAGTTCTTGCTTCAGGTGGAGTCAGGACAGCCTCAGCCAGCAGAGCGCCCCCCCCCCCCCCACAGACGCACAGAAATGCCTGTCCTATTTTGATGGGGGAAACATGAAGAGCTGAACAAGTACAGAGAACCCAGTAAAATGTTGCATCCTTAGCTTCCCTAGATGACTTTTCAGTTCCTCAGGATTCATGTTAGTGGTGGGGGAAGATGAGACCCTTGCTCTGCCTTCTTTGCTATTCTGCAATTTCAGGACACCATTCCTGGAAAAGCTGAGGCTGTGGATTTAGCTAGTTGGCAAATGAGTTCAGGGGAGAGGCCAATAGATGTCTGGGTCTGGAACCCTCACTACTGCCAGAATTGATGTGGGGAAGAGGGAAACCTCTAAGAACTGAAGCCAGCCTGCAAAGCCAAATACGAGGGGCCTCCTGCACAGGGAGGTCAGGAAGAGTTACAGACCTCAACCTCTCCTGCTCAGCCAGCCTGCTCCGTCTCCTTCCTGGGCTCACAGCTTCACATTTGGCACTTGGGGGAGTAACCCCCCACCCACCAATTCCAGGAGCATGGAGCCTCTCACCCGAGTGGGAGGCTTCCACAGGGTGGCCTGAGTGTCCTGGCACTCAGCTGCATCCATGGCCCTGCAGCAGCCTTGCTTGCCACCCACTCGCATACGGCCACACACAGCCGGAATTGGGCCAATCAGCAGAAGAGTTAAGTGGTGTTCTGACCTTCCATTTTTCACCTTGAATAAAAGATTCCTTCCTGCTCAACTTGAAAGGGAAAACAAGAATCTCTCATCGCTCTGAAGTTATTTCTGGGAATACTTCAGGCCCAGAACTGCAGGGTATTTCACCCATAGAAATGAATGGAGACAATGGCTTTCCTGGGCAAACAATGCCTGAGCCCGAGACCAGCAGGCAACAACTTAAGCGAAGGCAGGGCTGTGGCTGCTCTTCCACCCTCCCAGCACATGAACACAGCCTGGTAAGGGGACACTGCCCACCAGGATTTAGCATGGGGTCTTCTCCCTGTGGGAAAAAACACAGGGATCAAGTGAAACTGCCCGCTCCTAGGTGGGGCACCATCCTACACAACTATTTGCTCCTTGAGCCCTGGACACCTAGTGAGAGTAGTGGGGAGGGTGGCACATGCAGGTTAAAGAATTGTGAGGGCTTGGGTAAGTTGACTGCTTCCTCGAGACTCAATTTCAGAAGAGGCAGAAAAGTTGTGGCAGGAATTAAATGAGCTGACCACCTCTAATGGAGTTGGGCTCAGCGCTGCCATGTTTATTACAAAGCCAACTGTAAGTTGATGAACTACCCAGACCACTGTGGTAGCTGTTGATGACAGTGACCCATTTCCCATGGTAGAGTAGAGGGGCACCTAGAGCCCCCATAGCTACCATGTCTGGTGGCCCCACCTTCACCTACCTAGGGCACCTAGGACAGAACCCCTTTTAGGTTTGGAGCAGTGGTTTTCTGGCACTCAGAGCAACCGCATCCTTTGATCTCGCCTAATCATTCCATTCAGAGGCCTCAGAGGCACAGGCACCAAAGAGTAGCTCACCTGGTTGAAGCTGCCAAGGAGCCGCCCTCACTTCCTAGTGCAGGCTGAGGAGTAGGCCTTCCTGCAGTTCACCGAATACTTCCACGGGCTTGCCACTGACACAGGTGGTTCTAAGGGAACGGGGAGAAGCTGGAAAGGTTTTAAGGATAAAGGGGTGGAGAGGGTTTGGTAGAGGTGGGGGAAAGGTTCTACCTTGATGCCATCACACCATTTACATGGGCAGACCTTCAAGGATGCCAGCGTTTTCTTACAGCACTTTGCATTCCTTTAGGCAAATTCTAACTACCTTTGTTAGTAGAATCTTGTCAGTCCTCCGAAAGGATTCTTGGAAGACTGTCCCTGAAATGAAGAAAAGCCAGGCAGGTAAAAGTAGGAGGAAGACAGGAACCAAACCTTCAAGAGGGTTGCTCTAGAACTGCGGCAGAGGGAGTATGCATGTCTAGTCCTGCCTTTTAATCTTGGGAGTAGAGAGATGCTTACAGATGCCAGCAGGCTGCAGAAAGTTCCTCATCCACTTGAGCTCAGGCAGTGCAGGCTTTAGAGGAGGGCCATGTGGCCCACAGAGGGCTAGCAAAACTTGGGTTCCCAGATGTACCCAGGGGAGCTGAGGAGGTCTATCTTGAAGGGGTGTTCTAGGGCCCAGCAGTAGTGAGACCACCTCGACCATTAGGTTCTAGGTTCAACTGACTTTATTAGGTCCTAAAACAGCTGTAGATGATGATGTGATGAACAGATGTGGCCAAGGTTTGGTGCTGTGGAGTGCACTCGGGCTAAGTGCCTTCTTGCTACCGTCCAACAACTTGAAGGATTTCAAGGGCCAATGAAGCCACCGCACTGTCAGCAGATGAACTGTGAGAAAAACCAAAGTAGGAACACTTAGGTATCTCTGGCTGAAACACCCACCTCTTTGAGAGGGCTGGTCTTTTTTACACCTAAGCAGCTGATGGCCCAGTGGTTTCCTTAGAGTTGTCATCCTGGGAAGCAGAAACAGCAGGTTCTGGGCACTGATGCCACCAGCTCACGGCCCTAGTGGGGCTCCGCACTGGCTGTGGCAGCACCCCTAAGTGAGGCCTGAGCTTCAGCCCTGACTACTTGATACCTGAAGTGTCTTGACCAGGAGCATTGACAGTTGTCAGAGCAAATCAGCAGTCAGACACCGCCCGGCCCTGGCAGGCCTACCCAGCACCTGCTTGTGCTGACCACACAGCAGCGGAGGCCCCAGGCCCACCACAACACTGACTCTCCCAGCTGCACTGGTGATGCTGGCCAACCAGCCAGGGGCTTTAGTTTCTTGTTCTTAGGTGTGGATCAGCAATTAAGAGCTTAAAATGGAAATTTTGTTGCCAGAGCAAATTGTTTGAGACACTTTAAACCTGGGCCTTAACAACTGTGAGCAAAGAAAAGCATGACACGTAGCAGGAAACCTTGAAGTATAAAATTAGCTTGGAACATGCTCTTGACTGCACAAAAATAGAGCTGCTGCCAAGAGATGAGGAGGGGGGTGCTGCACAAAAGGCCGATGGAGCTGTGTTCAGGAGAGGGCGCTGTGCACTCCGGCTGTGCATCAAAGGCCGCCTGGGACAACGAACTGTCTCTGGCTGAGGCTGGGCTAGTCTAGTGGGGCCATGCCACCCATCCCACCAGCCAGAGCAGCCCCACTGGCCCGGTGACAGGCAAGGACGACACCCCCAACCTCTGGAAGAGCCACATCAGCATAGAGAGCACTGACAGCCCCTCATTTCTTGCTTAACTTAAGACAACCTTTTGTGTTTAGGCCACCTAAACAAAAGCCCAAGTAAGATAACTCCATAGCAGCGACCTCTCTGCAAGACACCTGCCTGATGTGGACGTTTTTGTTGCTGGAATGTTGGGTGAGGGGAGAGCTGAGACTGCTGGCTTCCCGGAGCACTTGGCTTGCTTGGATACATATGGTCCCAGCCCTCCCAAATTGATGCATGCGAGGACATACTGGCTTTGGCTAGGTGAAGAGTCCCCACACAGGCAGACCCTGGAGGGGAAGGGCTTTCTGGAACGATCCACAGAATTCCACTCTTCCCCATGGTCTCCCATACCTTCCTCAGCACAACTCAGAGTTGCTTCATCGCAGCTGGCTGCACAAGGCCAGGGGTGGACATCACCTGCACCTCACAGACCAGTCTAGCAGAAGGTCTGTGACCCAGCCCAGGGAGTTGCTGTCCACGTCTTACACCATGGGTCAGCAAGGCGAGGAAGGGCTCTGCCCTTCAAAGTTAGCTTGTCCTTCCCCTCACCTCACAGAGGCAGGCCCAAGAGCAAACCTGACTTAGCTGAAGAGAGGAGGGGCGGGCAGGCAGGCTAGGCGATGGTATCCCCTTCCCATCCCATCCGGGTGGGGTTGTATGTGAAAAGGCTGGATGGAGTTGAGCCTTCTTCAGATTCACCTCAGTAATGTTTCAACCACCCGTTTTTCTCCAAATTGATACCAAACCCCAAATACCAGGAAGCAAATTTCATGGCAAACTATCAAGAACGCCAGGCATCATTCCACGTCCTGAAAACCCAGTGAAGGCCTGCACCCCTATTGGTGGTGAGGCTTCCTTTCCAGGGCAGAGAGGGCAGCCTCTGGCCACTGCCCTCGGCTCTGGAGACAATGACCTGAGGAAGGCACAGTGACCCACCCATGAATCATGAAACATCTCCTGAGTCTCACCACCCACCGCCCCTGCCAGCTCAAGCACGGCCATCGCAGTGCATCATCACGGCCCCCAGCTGAAGGTGGGTATCTGCCCGCAAACTCTTCTATCCCTTGCAATCAGATCAGAGTGTAGAAGCTTGTAAGCCCTAAGCCCTTCCCATTGGGGGAGGAGTGCATGTCTTTTGGGGCGCAGTCCCCTGCAGGCCTCACCCCTCCAGCCTCAATATCACTGTGGGGCTGGCTGAGGCCAGTTCCTACCTTCACAGGCTGTCACACGTGACAGGGTGACCCTGATTTGTGGATTGCAGAGCACTGGGAGGCTGGCCCAGTCTCACATCGCTTCTGGGAGTCATGGTTCTGTAGGTTCCAGAATTTCTCTCTGATCTTGCCAAGGAAGGCTGCCTGGTACTATGGAGTGGGCTGAACTGTGGGTTCTTTTCTGACCCCAGCCCTGCCCTGGGCCTCCAGAGCCTCTGAAAGTGGCACTCATGAGGTCTCTGGGCAAGGCTGCAAATGTGTATACAGACTGGGCCTGTTGTTTCCTACAAATTGAGTCACATCTCCCACTGGGGTCCCCCTCCCCACCTGCAGATGGGAATGCTGCCTCCCAGCCCCCACCAGCACAGTGGAGATACCCCGAGGGTGGCCTCCCTGGGCAGTAATAGGCTGGGATGTGGTGGCCACCAGTGCACAGGGGGCTGAAGAGGATGGAGTGACAAAGCAGCAGGTCGGAGTGTGTGCACTGGCCTCTGGGGCCTACTTACCCACCAGCTGGGGTCAGCCACTCCAGAGCCTGCAGGAGGCCGCCCGCATTCTTGAGACTCTCTAGTTGCTTCTCACTGGAGGTGACCTGCAGAGGAAGGAGGAGAACTGGGTTAGCTGACCCACCACTGTCTCATGCTCTGTTGGATGGGCCACCTGAGTCTCCCACTGCCTGTGGCAATGAGAGTGTGCCCTGAGCCCCCAGCCAGGGTGCTGCTGTTCATGAGGCAGGAAGCAGTAACCCCTGTGGAGGTGTATGAGGGGCCCCTCAGGGGTCAGAATGTGCCAGGTTAGGGTGGAGCCACAGATCTCTCAGGAGGTGTGCGTTCCAAAAACCTGAACTCTCCAGGTAAAGCAAGTTACGTGTGAATAGAATTTCCAGTTAGTGCTGAACCCCAGTGGTCATGTGTACCTGGGCTCTGAGTCCAACATGACCACTTGCGTATAAACTGAAGTGTCATTCTGGGCATATGGTGATCTGGGTGGCCTGAGAGAAGGTATCAATGACCAGGCTTCCTTGTTAACGGCTATAGTCAAGGGACAAACCAGAAAAACACTTGGGCATCCCGGACTCTGCATCACCTTTGTGAAAAATCAAACTCTCAGGACTGGCTGGGACCCAGTCTGGGCTTCCAAAGACCTCATTCAGCCCCTCCACAACATGAGTTTGTGTTTTGCAAGGCAGAGGGGAGACTTATTTACTGCTCGTCTTCATTCTCCATTCTTGTCCTACTTGTTCTTTAAATATTTTGCAGTGAACATAGCACCTGCAGAAACAGCACAGTTCTGCAATTTCCTACATATTTTCTCATAGATTCTTTTCTGCAGCCTCACCTGGCAAGGTGAGCATAGAGCGTGTTGTATAGAGGTAAGAGGTCAAGTGAGATTAAAGGGTGCTGGGGAGAGCCTGATACTATGCCCACCATGAAGCTGGAACCATTGTGGGCTCAGTCAACTCACTGTGCCACTGTTCTTCTTCCCACTCGATACTGTGGCCCGGACTGGACTGTCATCTGTCCAGTTTCAAGAAGAGGCTGAATATTTCTTAATCGCTCATGGTGATAAAGAACATCACTGGGATCACGGAGTCCACTTCAGTGTGGACTCTGAATGACTTTGCCCGTCTACTCAAACACTACTACCTGAGTTGCCAGAGACTACTGCCAGCTCAACCACATCAGGTGTGACTTCTACAAGGATTCACATCTTAAAATCTGCTGAAATTACACACTCAACTTGGTGAAATTCAAATGGTTGCTGCTTAAAAATGTCAGCTATACTCAGTTATGTCTCAGGTGTGTGCAAACTGAAACTGAAAGGGTCTTCAGTGAGGAATCCCACCTTTTATTCCCCTAAAACTGTGCCTCATACCATTCAGTAAGCTAGACCCAGACACACTGTCCCAGTCAGACTTACCAAGGGCTTATGAGTGGGGGCTGAGGTCCCAAAAATTACCCCACAGAAGGCACAAAGAAACAACACTCATTCACAAGGCTAGGTAGAAGGCACAGGAGAAAAATACAGTGACAATTATCTGGTCAAAAGAAGAGACCAAAACAGCATCGTATTGGCATAAACAAAACCAACAAAATGAATTGAAAACAAGCATTTTTGGCCATTTAACTGAGCTCTTACTAACATTATCATCTGCTACTCTGTATATAAAGAGGAGTTATTTAGAAAATAAAGATTTTGGTCCTCCCTGGTGGCACAGCAGGTTAAAGCACAGCACTAAGAAGCTAACGCCACTTCCACATGAGTTCAATCCCCACCCCGGAGGTGACCCACATGGCGCTGCAGATCCCTCCTGACCCACCCACCGCTCCCCTCAGTAGTGTACTTTGTCAATCTGCCTGTTCTGCTCCCTACTCTGTCTCTGGTGGATCCTTTCACCTCCCCTGTACCTCTGGCCTGTACTCCAGTTCTGTATGCACAAATCAATCTTTTAAAAAAGAAAGATTTTAAATAGTATCAGTCTAGTTCTGGGCAACGCAGTACCTATCCTCTGAATGCAACTGCAAAAGCGAGAGAACGCACAGCACAGCTACTTGACACATAAACAGCACAGGCAGATTGCAGAAGGAGACTTGGGTTCAAAGGACTGCCAAGCTACCTTAGCCACTTCTTTCATTCCAAGATAGCCCAAACCCCAGAAATGACATCACAGGGTGGAAAAGAGAGCCCCAGGAAAGGTCAGGTTTGAGGAACGGGAGTGTGATCTCCCTAAAGCTCAGTGTTTGTACACCAACAACCCTCTCTGTGTTTCCCCATTCCTTTCCCTCACTTCACGTTTGCTCCAGGCCCCAGACAACCTGTGGCAGCTGTGACGGCAGTGTCAGGAACAGTAGGAGCCTGCTTCATTTCCTCAGTGTTTGACCCAGATGTGACAATTGTGGAGGTGATCAATTTATAATCAGATAAAAAAAATGGGAACCAGAAAATATTGGGGAGATAATGAATTAGGAACAGCTAGAGAAAGCAACCCCACATAATTGCTTTTGGGTTCCCAGGGTCCCCCTCATGCAAACCATAAACTCAGAGAATTGAGTGAACAAACCTGTGCCCAGTGTCCCAGGCTGACCCCAAGAAGGTAGATACACAAGAGGCCACAGTAACTAGGAACATGTTGAAACTGACTTGGAATAGAAATTAAGTTCTCACCTGGGGCTGCAGTATATTTAGCATAATTATTTGTTGAAACAAAAGTATCAACAGTCTCCACAGGGTTGCAACTAGACAGAGTATCTCAATGTAATATTTAAAATAGCCAGAATAAAATCCAAAATTGCTCTACATACAACCAAACATGAAAGTCTCAACTCATATAAAAAGGAAGTCTGTAAGGACAAAAAATTAGGAGACACAGTTAACAGAATTAACTGAGATTTTAAAAGTGTTGAACAAGCAATCAATACTACTCAAAATAGAATGTAACACTTTTGAAGTAAGTTTAAAACAGAAAACAATAGTATAACAATAGAATGAGATATTAAAACAGAAGTTGCAAAGAAAGGCTAACTGGAAATTTTTGAGTTAAAATTTAATATCCCAAAAGTTTTGAAATCTGAGCACTCTCTTTAGCAGAATGGAGAGGACTAACAGTAAACTAATGACCAACAGAAATGATCCAATCTCAGCACCAGAGAGAAAAAGGATCAAAAACAAATGCAGAGAGCTTCAGGGACAAACACAAAAGGCCATAAAACAGCAGAGCATGAGTGGATGAAAAGGTACTTGAAGAAATCATAGCTAAAACTATTCTCAATGTGGAGAAGTACTTAAACCTACAGATTCATGAAGCTTTAAAAATCCAAATGAGATAAAGAAACCATACTCAAAGAGAGAAACTTGCTAAAGAGGGGGAAATGCTAACAGCAGGCAGCAGAGAATGGTGTCTTACAGGAAAAGTGCAGTGGGGTCCTCACTGTTTTGAGATCAGAAGAGCATGGCATTTTAATAATGTTAAAAACAAAACAATTATCAAACGAGAAGTCTGTAGCAAACAAGTCATTCAGAAACTAAAGTAAAATGAAGATATTCTCCCCCAATCTCATGGAAACGAACTAACTGAAGGGAAGCTAACAGCAGCGGAGGTGTCTCTCCTGCTAAGGGAAGCTTTTGAAAGAGAAAAGGAACATCAGCAGACAGGGAAGTAGGAATAAAGGGAGAGCAACAAAATGATAAATATCTGGGTAGACATAACAGTATATTATTTTTAAAATATATCTGGATAGAAAATAAAAAATATAGTATTGTCTGCAGTGGCTTTCAATATATGTAGCTGTAATACAAGATAACAGAAATGTCATAGGGTGGTATGACTTCTATATTCTGATGGAAGTGGCTAAATACTGACTATAAATACAGAGTAAAGGTATTTTACAGTCCAGTAGACAGTAAAACATAAAATCAGTACTATCAAATGCTCAGATATTAATAGTTTAAAAGAAAGCAGCAAAGAAAAAGAAATAAACAGAAATCAAACAAAAGGTACTTTTTAGACTCTTAACATATCAAGAGTTACATTAATGTAAATTATCTAAATGTAGCAAATGAGTTTTCCTAAATGATTTTTAAAAAACCATTACAAATATATACTTTCTACAGTAATCTTAATTCAAGTAGAGTGTGATAAGTTGATTTTAAAAAGAATGAAAAAGCTAAACCAAGCAAACATGAATCCAAAGAAAGCTAGAATGCCAGTATCATTATCAAAGTAGAATGGAGAATGAAGAAAATTACCAGGGTAAGTAAGGGCATAATATCTTTATAAAAGAGCTGTCATCCAAACTAATTGCTAAACCCTGCCCACAGTCAACCAGGTGAGGCAGTGACAACAGAGAGGACAGTGGCTTGCTGGGTGCAAAATGGCGAGGGGCAAAGCCAGGTGGGTGCCTCCATCCTTATCGAAGGCCTTTGCAAGACGCTGAGGGACAAGGCGAATTTATGTTGAGGAATGTGACTCAGACACGGCTCCCACAAAGCTCATCAGGTGCTCCCGGGAGAGCTGCTTTTTTAGAAACGGGTCTCGGGTGAGAGACGTGCAGCTGTGCCGAGTCAGGCTTGGACAGGCCACGGGCGCTGCTCAGGAGCGTGCAGCACTGTGTGTCTGTGTCGCTAGTGCTTCTGAATGTGTGTGGCAGAAGGAAGCCGAGTTAACGTCAGTTTTCTGATCATGAGTTCCTCCCGACAGGCCCAGGCAACATAGAACAGACTAGAAAAAAGCAGGCGGTGAGACTGACAACAGTGCACACAGCCCAGGTGCTCCTGGCGCTTGTTGTTACAGCACACACTTCACACACGGGAGGATTATTTTAATTCCATGGCCTTCAGATCTCATAAATACAAGTAAAAACAAGCAGGTAACTATGGCAACTCTACTTCAGAGTGCTTAAATTTCAAAAATAAATCTATCCATCTCACCCCTTTATTTTGTTGTGTTAACATCTACTTTGTCTTCCCTTTAACTGAGGTTTTTATGTTACTTCAAAGCCATTTTACTGACTGCACATTGGGACACGCTATCCCCTTGCCGTTGTGTGTCTAAACCAAATCTGGGGGAGATCCCGTCTGGCGTGATGGTGTCTG